GGTGACCTTGAAGAAATTGTTTACATGAAACAGCCACCTGGATTTGAATCTTCTGTTTCTGTTGGTCAGCCTTTGGTGTGTAAGTTGAACAAGGCTATTTATGGCCTAAAGCAAGGCTCCAGGGCATGGTTCATTAAAATAAAAAAGGCTCTCTTTGATCTTGGCTTTCAGAACTCAGTAGCTGACTCATCTTTATTTTTCAAGACAGCAAGTGAAGTGAAAATTTTTATGCTCATCTATGTAGATGACATTATAATCACTAGGAATGATAGTGCAGTAATTCAAGTAACCATTGAGAGTTTGAAGAGGTCCTTTTCTATCAAAGATTTGAGGACTTTACATCACTTTCTTGGGATTCAAGTTAATTACACATCTCAAGGTATTCATCTTTGCCAGCACAAATACATTTCTGATTTGCTTGACAGGGCTAAAATGCAACATGCTAAGGGTTGTCCTACTCCTATGGTCTCTTCAATTAGACTATCTAAGCATCAAGGTGATCCTGTCACTGATGACAAACTTTATAGGAGCATAGTTGGGGCTCTGCAGTACTTGACCATCACTAGGCCTGAGATTTCTTTTGCTGTGAATAAAGTTAGTCAATTTATGTCTTGTCCTCTTGATTCTCATTGGAAGTGTGTTAAAAGAATTCTCAGATATTTGAAGTCTACTCAGCATTATGGTTTGCATATCACAAGAGGCCAGACATTGAAGATAGTGGGATTTTCAGATGCTGATTGGGCTTGTGATATAGATGACAGAAAATCTGTCACTGGTTCATGTGTTTTTCTTGGAGGAAACCTTGTTGCTTGGAGTTCTAAAAAACAAAATGCCATTTCTAGATCAAGCACTGAAGCTGAGTATCAAAGTTTAGCTCACACAACAGCTGAAATTAGTTGGATACAGTCCCTTTTACATGAGATAGGCATGGTTGTTGAGCAAACTCCTATCATTTGGGTTGATAATCTGGGAGCTATAGCTTTGGCTTCTAATCCTGTGCTTCATGCTCGAACTAAGCACATTGAATTAGACATACACTTTGTAAGAGATAAAATTTCCAAGAGACAGGTGACTGTTCAACATGTTCCTTCTTGTGATCAACTTGCAGACTTGCTTACTAAACCCTTAAGCTTCCAATTCTTCACTCGGCTTCGAAGTTCTCTTGGAGTTTGTGACCTCACCTCGCTTGAATTGAGGGGGGATGTTGGAGATACTCCTCAGTCAGCCCATGCACACTTCCAACCCAGCCATGCACAGCCAAAAGCAGGTCTTGTCCATTTAGAGCCCAATGCAGGTATATCTTGTTCACAGCCCAAGTGCATGTTGGCCCAACTGATCAGTCCACAAGAGAAGGAAGCTGCAACACGTGCTAGCTGTGTACCTGTGACAGAGTTTGTTACACATAAGACAAACTCAACGGCTATGTTCAGAAATGATGTACCTTGTTCCATCTCCACCTTTGATCTTGACAGCATTGGAT